CCAATATAGTGAAAATGGCCGTATTTCCAAAACTGCTATATAGATTCAGTGAAATCCCAACAGCATACTTCACTGAACTTGAGAAAACAATCCAAAAATTCATTTGGAACCAGAAGAGACCTAGAATAGCAAAAGCTGTTCTAGGCAACAGACACATGGCAGCGGGTATCACAATCCCCAACTTGAAACTATACTACAAAGCCACTGTGATAAAAACAGCATGATACTGGCAAAGAAGCAGACCTGAGGATCTGTGGAATAGATTAGCGGATGCAGAAATAACTCCAGACATACTCAGCTACCTCATCTTTGACAAAAGAGTCAACCATCCTCACTGGAGGAAAGATAGCTTCTTTAATAAATGGAGTTGGAAAAACTGTATTTCAACTTACCAAAGACGAAAACTAGACCCTTATCTTTCACTATGCACTAAAGTACAATTTAAGTGGATTAAAGATCCACTAAACTTGTTGGAAGAAACACTAAACTTGTTGGAAGAGAGGTTAGGTAGAACTCTTGAAGACAGTGGCATAGGAACAGACTTTATGAACAAAAACCTCAGCAGCACAGGAACTAGCACAAAGAATGGCTGCTATCAAGAAATCAACCAATAACAAATGCTGGAGGGGTTGTGGGGAGAAAGGAACCTTCCTCCATTGTTGGTGGGAGTGCAGACTGGTGCAACCACTGTGGAAATCAGTATGGAGATACCTCAAAGAACTAGGATGAGAGATCCCATTTGACCCAGCTGTTCCCCTGCTGGGTATCTTCCCAAAAGACTTAAAAGAATCATACCACAGTGATAGATGTACACACATATTTATAGTGTGTACAGTTTGTAATAGTTAAAACTTGCAAACTTCTGTAAATATCTGCTTCTTTCTTTTTAATGGTTACTTAAGATGCTACTATTCAGATGTACCATCATTTATATGTCCTACATGATAGGAGCTTAGGTAGTTTCTCTACGTCTGCTGTCATAAGCATGTCACATAAGCAATGCCTTGGACTTGGGAGTGTGTATCTGTAGGCTAAATTCCTAAAAATTAAATTACGGAGAGTAAAGGGTAAAAGGGTGTGTGTGTGTGTGTTGGGGGGTGTAGTACTGGGGACTGAATTTCAAACCTCAAGCAAGTTAAACACTAGCTTATACTCTATGATTAAACTACATCCCAGCCCTATTTAATTAATCTTTGGCATTCGTTAATTTGATTGGGTAGAAATGGTGTCATCATAATTTCAATTGTATTCTCATTATCAGTAAGATTAAGCAAATTTTCTTATATTTAGAGTCATTTGTGCTTTTTTTTCTTTTAAGTTATCCACCTATATCTCATGTCTGTCTTTTGCATTGAGTCATTAGGGTTTTGCTTGTTGTTGCTCTGAAGAAGTTCCTTAAAAAGTAAATTGGTCCTTTGTGATATGAATTTTCCAGTGTATTTCTAAATGGTTTCTTTCTGTCTTTTTTTTTTTTTTTTTTTTTTTTTTTTTTTTCTATTTTTTTTTTTTGTATCGCTGATCAAACTCAGGACCTTGCACTTGTGAGGCAGGCACAGTGCCACTGAGCTAAATCCCTGGCTCAGTTTTTTCAGCTTAATACGTGTGAGCCTGTGGCAAGGCCACCTCCTTTTTCTTGGCTCAGATAGTAGTCCGCTGGTTACTGTTCGTCCTAATGGTCCTCAGCCGTGAGTGTGTTAGCTTGAGGTTGCTCTGTTGTACCTTCTAAGTTACCTAAAAGTCAACACAATTTCTACCTCTAAAATTTATTTTTTTCCGCAAGCCTCATAGTGTCTTATGAAGAGAGAAAAATAATGTATTATATTTAATATACATTACTATCTGGTCCTATTTGTTCCTATTTGTGAAAATGTATTAATCTCCTCCCTTGGCTATCTTTCATTATGAAGGGCCCAATATCTCTGCTTGAGCCATTCTGGATGATTGAGATTTATAAGCTATGACTGAAAAATATGATGAATGTACAAATTTCAAAAAGTTTATTGCAATAAAAGACTCATTGCCATCAATCTCCCTCAAAGTTCTCCCCCTCGCTTTGAACACACTCATCCCATCATTCTTGCCACTTTCTGAAGCAGTTCTGGAAGTCTTCCTCCATCAGTGTTTCTAGCTGTGCTGCTTTGGCTGCCTTGATGTCCTGAATCGACTCAAGGCATCTGCCTTTCATGGTCATTTTGACTTTGGAGAAAAGCCAGACATCCCACAATGCCAAATGCAGCGAAGAAGCTGAATGAGGACCCACCATGATGTCTTTATGAGTCTGCCTTTGCTTTGGATGGCACTCGGCAGGAACAGTCACCGATGTTTTAAAATCACACCTAATAAAGACTCAGAAAAGAGGACTTCCCTTCGGAAAGTGGCAAGAGTGATGGGGATATTTTGAGGGGATTAATGACAATGTATCTTTATATTATAATAATTTTTATTTAAACATTCATCATATATATATTGATTACCCCTTGTATAAGAATGTGAAGAGATAGATGTTTAGAAATGGAAATGTCTTGGGCTGGGGATTTAGCTCAGTGGTTCTGCCACCTGCCCCGCAAGTGCAAGGACCCAAGACCAATCCCTGGTACTCCAAAAAAAGGTTAAAAAAAAAGAAATAGAAATGTCTGAGGGAAAGAGAGGGGGGTAGTACATATAGAACCTCATTTTGGAGCTAAAATATTTGTGTACCCCCTCATTGGAAGCAGTAATCATCACTCTTGATGAATGGTGTGGGGTCTTTAGCAAAAGCAATGTGGATCATGTTTAAGGAATTTGTAGGACAATTGTATTTTTTGACTTGAGGACATCCTAGGATGAAATTGTCACAATTGTTTGCAATATTACTTTCAAAGGTTATACGGGGTCAAGACTGGGACCAATAACCAAAGAAAGGGAAGAGGGATAGCCCAGTTGGAATAGAAGATTCTCCTTTTAAACTTGAGATATTAACTTTTTTTCTTTCTTTTTTGGGTTTTTTTTCTCTCTCTCTCTCATTGAGTTTATTGGTACATTTTAGGTATATAGTACAGTTACATTCGTCTTTGCGATCTTGTACCTTTACATGACAGGTCTTGGTTCTCATTTTTTTCCCCTTGTCCCTGCCCTCCCTTCACCCTCTCCTTCCCTCCCCATTTACAAACACTTTATTTCCATTTTTTCATTTTCTCATATTTTTTTTCTTTTCCCTTATTACCTTTCCCCTACCCTTCCCACTTTTCCTACACCAAAGACCGTGATTTTTGTATCATACCATAAGAGTCTATTTAAGTCAGTAGGAAACTGTCAAACTGTCTTCCAGACTGGTTGGACAGTTTTGTATTTCCACAAGCAATGAATGAAGGTTCTTTTTTTTTTTCAGCTTTAATTGAGTTTATTGGTACATTTTAGGGATACAGTACAGATACATTCATTATTGGGATCTTGTACCTCTACATGACAAGTCTTGATTCTCATTTTTTCCCCTTACACCTGCCCTCCCTCACCCCCTCCTCCCCTCCCCATCTACAAACACTTTATTTTCATCTTTTCATTATCTCACATTTTTTTCTTTTCCCTTATTACCCTTCCCCTACCCATCCCACCTTCCCTACACCTTTAGCTCCTTTCTTCTCATTTCTAAATGACAGTAATCTTATTAGGAGGTTTTATTTTTTTGCGATAAGTTCTCACTATGTAGTTCAGGAACCCTTGGACTCACTATGTAGCCCAGGCTGGCCTCAAACTTGAGGTGATCTTCATGCCTCAGCCTCCTGAGTGCTGGGACTACAAGCATGCACCATCACACCTGACTCCCAGTATATTAATTTTTTATTGCTGAGTAACAAAACTATTTGCTGAGTTACCCTAAAATGTAGCAGTTTAAAGAATAAATATTTTAACTGGGTGTGGTGATGCACACCTATAATCCTAGAAGTCTGGGAGGCTGAGGCAGGAGTTTGAGACCAGGCTGGGTAATTTATCAATTTAGCCAAGCCCCATCTCAAAACAAACAAACAAACAAAAAACATAAAAAGAGCTGGGGATGTAGTTTAGTACAAAGGCCCTGAGTTCAATCCCCATTACCGCCCCCACACACAAATTGTCTTATAGTTTGTGTGGATCAGGAATTTGGGAACGGCTTACCTTGGTTCTCCTTAAGGATTTCTCATGAAGTTTTACTTTGGGAATATAGCCATCTGAAGGCTTGCTTGAGGCAAGAAGATATGCTCCTAAGATGACTTCTTCACACGGCTATTGGTAGGAAGCCTCAGTTTCTCACTTCCTTAGAGTAGACCTTCCTTTCTATAGAGTAATTTGAATGTCCTCATGACAGGGCTGGTCATTTTCCTCAGAGTGAGTGATGTCAGCAAGAAAACAAAAAAGAAGCCATGTTGCTTTTTACGACCTAAATTTGGACTTAAGTCATTCCCACCATTTTCTATTCATTAGAATTAAGTTGCCAAGTTCAGCCCATACTGAAATATAAAAAAATTTTGGACGTGTTTTAAAACCACCACGCTCACATTCCTGAAACATTTATCATAGCATACTTTGCACTTTATTCCACTTTTAGAACTTTGAACATTGTTCCATACTGTCAACTTTGCTCCATTGAGCTACGGTCATACTTTGATGCTTGACTGTTCTGAATCTCATCAGATTTGGCACTCTACTCATTTAGACAAGAAAAGTTCATGCAGGCACTTGTCATTTGTTTGGTGCTCGATGTATAAACTGGTACTTCTGTTGGTGTTGATCACCTTGTGACTTGCTACCCTTCCAGACAAAACACTGTGGCATTTGTCATTTTTGGTGCTCACTGAGTCTTCTGGAACTGATTAACAATAAGTACCAAGGTACCACTGTATGTCTATTCACTTCAGAAATATTTATTAAGTGAGTTATCTGTATTACTATAGCCAATTTTTCCAATCTGTTACTGAAACCCATTCTGCTCTAAGAGACTCATAAAAAATGACATGCTGCTAACAGTGCTCTTTTCCCCTTCTCAGGTGCTTGTTGGGTTTCTTCTTGTTATGGCAGCCATAGAGCTGGCCCTTGCATTCACAGAAGACTCAGGGCAAGCCACAATTCCTCCTGTGAAATATACCAATCCAATCCTCTACCTAAGCTCATGGGTAAGGCCCTTCACCACTTCTACCCTCTTTTATCTTCTCTCCTCCCATAGCTGAAATGTACTCTTGTAGATAAAATTAAGTCCAATTTCATCTATCTCTGTCACGGACTTACAGTGAAGCAAAACCTAGTTGTAATGGGACGAAACAAATTTTAGCTTTTTACCATCTTTTGAACACCAATTTGTACAGTCTTCTCTGGTTTATATGCCCTCATATTTTACCATCTAGGGATCATGGATAGAATCTAAGTTTCTTAGAGTAAAATAATTTTAAGTGCTGTAAATATTATTTCAAATTGGTGACCAGTCAATGAACCAGAGAGTCTAGGGCTTTTGTATAAATTCATTATTAGAAAATGATGTCTGCTCCAGGCATAGTTTTTTGGGAGGGCTGTACAGTGTTTTAAAAACAATTGAATTAGCTGTCATCATTTAAAAATAATATCACTGTTTTTATTCACAAATGCTCTTGATAAAACAGAATATCCAACAACCATGGATCTAGGTTCCCACACAGGGCAGTGGCCGGCTGAAACTAAATAACTACTGCCCCCCTTTAGACCACGTGTTTGGCATGTTATGTGCTCTCTGCTTGGCCAGATTAGCTTCAAAAAAATCTCCTTCAGTTTTCCTTTCTTCCCTCTTCTCTGGCACCCTTCTCCCCTCCTGTCCTTGGTTCTTGGTTAATGATGCTGTTTTTCAGAACTTCATGTAAATTTCTTTCCAGCTCCTGGTTTTGCTGATCCAACACAGCAGACAATGGTGCAGAAATAAGAATTCTTGGTTCCTGACCATATTCTGGATTCTCTCAATATGCTGTAGCACTTTCCAATTTCAGACTCTTATCCGGGCACTCATACAGGTAAGGAGAAAAGAGACTGTGACATGAAGATGGAATGCTGGAAAATTTCTTTTTCTGTTTTTCTGCTGGGTAACTTCTAAACCAGAGTAAATGACACCAAGTCATTTGAACTCCAGGACACAGTTATACTGGGGGAATTTGATAAAATAGGCTTTTATCACAAATATATGTATATGTTAATTTTCATATATGAAATGTCTATATTTATATTTCATTTGTATTTGTATATAAACGTGTTTATTAAGTATATATTATATATAAATGAAATAGCTGGCCTGGGCTAGAAAATTAAGTTTATATTTAATTTGAATAATAGGCTTGTTTTCTTTGGGTCTTTTCTCCCCATAGGACAGCAGTACCAATCTGGCCTATTCCTGCCTGTTCTTCATCTCTTATGGATTCCAGATCCTGATCCTGATCCTTTCAGCATTTTCAGAAAAAAGTGACTTATCAAGTGTAAGATTCTAAATATGCCCATTTCATATATTACTTAATTGGATGATATCTTAAAAATGAAACTGAGACGTCTGGGTCTTATGGAGAGCCCATGAACCCAGAATAAGTTACATGCCTAATCTGAACTTCTGAAATCTGAAATACTCTGAATCCCAAATTTTCAAAAAGTCGGTGCAATGTTGCAAAAATCCAAAATACTTCTAGTTCCAAGCACTTGGGATAACAGATACTCAACCTGTAATACAGAGTATTTTATGCCTAAGGATACAATAATGAACATATTGAAACACCGCCTTTTTATGTTCTTTCAACAATCTTGGCACAGCCAATTAATTCATACATCTCTGCCAGAAAATCTCATTCTCCTTCTATTAGTGACCATAGATTCTCCAAATAAACATATACTGAACAACTGACTTTACATCTTATCTAGTTTCTAGCACACCATCACATCTAGGAAAATGTTTCTGATTTTAGAGTCCAGTGGTTTCTCTTTCTAATTGACTTTGCAATTTTTGGTATCTTTCAGAATCCATTGTCCACAGCTTCGTTTCTGAGCAGCATTACCTTCAGTTGGTATGACAGGTAGGAAGTGCCTGGAGCACAGTTTTCTGTATTCATACTCTCTTATTTTCTGAAAATGAAAGAAATTTTAATTTTAAGGGACTTCTCTTTTTTAAAATTAATTCTATTGGTACATTTTAGGTGTATAATATAATGACATTCACCATTGGAGGTTTGCACCTTTACATAATCTATCTTGGTCCTTATTTTTTCCCCATTCTCCTGCTCTCCATTCAACCCCTCCATTTCTCCTTATTTACAAAGTCTTTGTTTCCATTTTTTAATTTTCTTACGTTAATTCCATTCCCTCTTTCCTCTCCTCAAACCCTTCCACTTCCCCTTTCCCTTTGGACTTTTTCTTCCTATGTCACATTATCTATACCTTTTGATCCTTATTTGCACTTTCAGTTTCTCACACCAGAGAAACTATTTGGTATTTACCTATATCTGTCATATTTATTTCACTTAAGAGTGTGTCCTCAACGTACATCCATTTAGCTATGAATGTCTCTAGTTTCTCATTCTTTATGTCTGAGTAGTACTCCATTTTATTTTTTAAAAGCCCCTTCTTTATCCTTCTTTACACCTTCTTTATCCAGTCTACAGTTGATGGGTGATTGGGCTGTTTCCAAGTTTTAGCTATTACAAACTGTGCTGCTATGAACATGGGTGCACGTGTATTGGAGACAATCCACAATGTGGGAAAAAATTTTTACCAGCTGTTTCTCAGACATAGGACTACTATCTAGAATATATAAAGAACTTTAAAAAATCAAACCTCCCAAATTTAAAGACCTATCAAAAATGGGTATCTGAAATGAATAGACATTTCTCAGACAAAGAAGTAGTAATAGTAAGTAAACATATAAAAAAAAGTTCAACATCACTGGTCATTTGAGAGATGTAAATGAAAACAATGTTGAGGTTCCACCTCACCCCAGAAACAATGGCTGCTATCAAGAAATCAACCAATAACAAATTCTGGAGGAACTGTGAGGGAAAAGGAACCCTGATCCACAGTTGATGGGAGTGTAGACTGGTACAACCACTGTGGTAAGATACTTCAAAGAACTAGGATTAGAGGTCGCATTTGACCCAGCTATACCCCTGCTGGCTATCTTCCAAAAGAATTAAGGGACTTCTCTTGATAACCTGGGAGTTCCACAAGAGGAAAGGAAAGAAGCAGCAGGACAGGAAGAAAGAAATTTGAGGTAGGCAGTGTGGCATGGGTTTGGAGGGTAAGGGATGCAACAGCTGACCTGGGCTACTAGAACAGATACCTGGAACAGATGCCTTCTGGAAGACTGGTGAAGGCTACATATCCCTTCTTAGGCACTGTTTTAAGAGTATAAAATAAAAAGTATAAAAAATAAAAAAGTATAAAGTATAAAATAAAAGATTAAAAGGAAACAAATTATATAGACATTCCTTGGTTAACGACCTACCTGTTTAATGGCTGTTCAGGCTTCTGACAGGCCTGCTATTCAGACTTACAGCCTTTCTTTTGTTTGTGCAGTTCTGTTTATAGAGCCTCAGTATCTTTTTTGGGTGGCACAGTATACCTTGTTCATACAGTACTGTAGTTTTTGCTGATTATACTGTACAGTACTACAGCTTTATTTTTTTGTCATACATTACAGTGCTGCATATAAGTTAGGCAAATTAAAGAGAAGTCATCAAGTTGGAATTTCCTTTGACCATTTCTTCTGAATATTGTAATGTACATACTATATATAATTCTTCATTCAGCAACCAATTCATTGAATTATCTAGTTGTGAGAACTGAACTCAGTCATTAAATGAAGAAAGTCTGTATTGAAATGTAGTTATAAAAATATTAAAAAAGCAAATTTGTGATATAGTAATATATATATATATAGTTTTATATATATATGTATATATTTATATATATATATGTATATATTTATATATATATATATGTACTTTCAAAACAAAACATTAAATAAAAAGTTCTAGTGATGGGTCTAAAAATGACCATAATTTTAAGTAGTGATGGGCATAGTTAGCTGTGGAAACATCTGTAATTTCTCCTGGTGACAAAGGCACTGTATTACACTCAGGTTAAGAGGAAAGGTTAGTTTCCAGTTGGAAGCTATTACAAGTAAAGATATATTTTCCATTCATTTTCCCAACCTTCAAGTTGGGGAACCTTAATCTAGAGAGGTAGTATAAAGGCATCCATTAGATCTGCTCTACTTCATAAGGACATTACGAAGGCCTCTCAAGGCAGAGTGGCAGCCAGTGTTTAAAAAGGAAGGAGCAGGTATAGGGAGAGGATGTGCTTTTGGTTCTTAATTCCATAGGCCATTCTCCTTTTCTTGATAGCAGTCTTCTAACACCCTTTGTTGTTTCCACATACTCCTTTTTCCATCTCCCCACTCCTCTGTCAAATTCAAAGGGGCCGAATACGAGGGCATTGCCCCCTGCCCAGATCTGGGTGGCAAGTTTTGGTGAAGGTAGTGAAGATATTCTAATGCAGCCTATAGCGTTCCAGCCTGGGGTCACTTTTGTTTCAGTGTTGTTCTGAAAGGTTACAAGCAACCATTGACACATGAAGATGTCTGGGATATTGACGAAGAACTTAAAACCAAGGCAGTAGTAAGCAAGTTTGAAGTATTCATGACAAGTGAGCTGCAGAAGGCCAAGCGGGCATTACAGAGGCAGCAGCAGAAGTCCCAGAAGAACTCTGAAGCAATGCCACATGGCTTGAACAAGAACCAGAGCCAAAGCCAAGATGTCCTTGTCCTGGTAACTCTCTCATAAGTGTCTGTGTGTCCACTGGGTTTCAGTACAGTGTCTGTGTACTGTATGTCTCAGGTAAAAAGTAGAGTCATGGTAGTTGTGTTCCTACATTTTTTTAGTACTTCAAACTTTTCAGTGTATTTTATGCTACTTGTATCATTTACAATACTAGTAATAGCTTAGTGATGCATACATAGAAGGTTTAATATTTTATTCTCTCCTTTGAGTTTTTCCTATTAAAAAAATTAAAGTAATACTTTAGCCTTCTTATAATTTATAGTTTGGTGAGAGTTAGCATTCACAGCTAATTTATTTTTTAATTCACACAAAACTGTTTATTGAGCAGAGTTGTGTGTCTGAGTCTATTCTGGGCACTGAGTAAAAGGAACAATCCTGACTGAGTGCCCATCTTTAGATAGCTAGAAAGTAAACAATGAGCCAAAACATATATTAAGAGTATATATAAGTACAATTAAGAAAATAAAATTCTGAGTGTAGTGGCACATATCAGCAATCCCAGCACTTTGAGAAGGCTGTGGCAGGAGGACTGGAAGTTCAAGAAGGGCAACTTAGAGACTTAGCAGGGTCCTGCTAAGTCTCAAAAATAAATAAATAAATAAAAATGACCAGGGATGTAGCTTAGTGTGAAGGCTATGGTTCCATCCCCGGTACTGGCAAAAGAAGGGGGGAGTGGGAGGAAAGAAAAAAGTGAGGCGTGGTGGTATGTAACTGTAATTGCAGCTACTTGGGAAACTGAGGCAGGAGGATTGCCTTAGCCCATGATTTTGACACCATCCTGGGAAATATCACATGACCTCATCTAAAAACAAAGAAAAGAAGTGGAAATAGATTTGAAGTGACATGCTGCTTTGGACAGTTAATATGGAAGACTTCTGAGAAAGGTAACATTTGAACAGAGAGCCAAAGGAGAACATCTGAGGAACAATCGGAGGGAGGTATACTCCAATCAGAGAGAGCAGGCGTGTGAGGCCGGCCTGGCATTTTCGGAGAATTGGAAGGAGAGGTGCGGGGAGCTGAGAAGCTAGAATTTGGGGCATGAGGAGGTCAAAACATAGGAAAAAGAGACTGAGGAATAAGTCGTTATGTCCCAAGTCTTAGTTTCCTAGAGCTGCCATAACAGAAGTACAGGTGGTGCCTGGGTGCTCATGGTTAATTGGTCCTGGAAGGCATGATGAGTACTAAAACTGACAAGGACTGGACAAGTTGTTTTGACCGGAAATGGTAGCAAATCACACGACAGTTAACACCAAGAAGATGTAGCTTGCATGTGAAGTACCAAACAAATGAGAAACACTGGGACAAAAATATCTGAGCCAAGTGCATCGAGTACCAAATTTATTTATTTATATATTTGTTTGTTTGTTCTCATTGAGTTTATTTTAGGTATACAGTACAGTTACATTCATTATTGGCATCTTGTACCTTTACATGACAGGTCTTGGTTCTCATTTTTTCCCCTTATCCCTGCCCTCCCTTCACCCTCAAGTACCAAATTTAAAGCAGTGGAATATCAAGGTATGACTGTACCACAAGCTAGCGAAGTTAAAACTACACAGGCTGGGGATGTAGCTCAATGACAAAGCATCTCCTTAGTATGTCAGAGGCCTGGCTCTGATCACATGCATTTGTACGCATGTATGAACACACACATGCACAAGTGCACACACATACACACAAACGCAATTTACGGCTCACAGTTCAGGAAGCCAGAAGTCTGAAATCAAGCAATCTGCAGGGTCATTCTCCCTTTGAAACATGTAGGGAAAAAACCCTTTACCCGCTAGTTTTTGGCAGAAATCTTGGGCATTCCTTGGCTTATAGATGAATTGTTCCAATTTCCAGTCCTGTTTTTTACATTGCCATCTTCTGTCTGTGTCTGTCTCTTCTATTCTCTTCTTGTAAGGACAACATTCATACTACTAGATTATTGACCAGCTCATTATATGTGCAAAGACCCTATTTTCAAATAAGGGCACATCCTACAGTACAAAAGATTAGGACTTCAAATTTTTTTGGAAGGGATGTACAATTCAACCTATAACATACTCCAACAATCACAAACAAGAAAAGAACACTCATTCTTCTTTTCTTTTCTTTGCTCCACCCCTCTCTTTTTCTTCCTTTTTTTTTTTTTTTTTCTTTTTTTTTTTTTTTTTTTTTTTTTTTTTTAGCACTGGTGATTGAACCTGGAACCTTCACACTGAGCTACGTTCCTATTTCTTTTTTAATTTTCTGTTTTGGGACAGGTTCTCTCTAAGTTGCTAAGTGGTCTGAAACTTGCAATCCTCTCAGCCTCCCACAGTGCCGGGATTATAGGTGTGGACCACCATGTCTGGCTTGTTTTTTGTTTCTATGTGATATTTTTACCAGTTTAGTTTTCTACTCAAAAATAGATTTTAGTATCAGTTAGAAGGGAGAGAGAGGGTAAATAGCACTGAGGAGGTGAAGAGAAGATTAAAGCCTATACAAAGAAGATAACAAGCCTCATAGACCTTGTTAAAATACTGCAGCTGTTCAGAGCAGGAACAAGGTCTTATACTGCACAACTCTGTTAATGCTATTGTTTTTCTTCTGTGCCCAGGAAGAAGCTAAAAAGAAAAAGAAGTCTAGGACTGCAAAACACTTTCCCAAATCCTGGCTGATTAAGGCCCTCTTCAAAACTTTCTACGTGGTGCTTCTGAAGTCATTCATAATGAAACTAGTGCATGATGTCTCTTTGTTTCTGAATCCTCAGGTGCTGAAGTGAGTACCCGGGGTTTATGTTGTCCTTTCAGGGCTACCTCCATTTTTGCCCCTTGTGTATGAAGGCAAGAGTTTTTATAAATACCCAATTTTTTAAATTCTCATACTTTTCTTCCACTTTACAGCTTTGTGTTCATGAAGAGCACAGGGCACTTTTCAAAATCGAATCCCTCATTTTCAGGCTCCCCTCCCTCCACCCCATAGAAGCCACATACTTACATATTTGTTAGGCCTTTTACTTGTTAAACACAGCTGCTATGGTCTGAGCCACATCCAAGCAATGGGTAGCACACCCCAAGAGGATAACTTCCCTTCACATCCGAGCCTTCCCTCGGAGGATCAGGCTAATCATAACACAGTTTTGCAATGTACCATGATCTGGATTAAACCACCACCAAAGAAACCCTTTGAACCCATGCTTGATACATGTCCTAATTTTCAGGCTTGCATTGCCTAGAAATAATCAACTTGGTCCAAACAACTTCTTTTACCAACAAGGGAGACATGGCAGGACCAAAGCACCGCAGTGCCACCTACACGCAGCATTTCTTTTGTTATCCATTCCCACCACTCTGGATTGTTTACCCTAAACCCTTGCTGCCTGTATCCACATAATAACAAGAACACTGTCAAGATTATGGAACTTAGGTCTTCCAAATGCATTGGACAATTCTGGTCATTTTGGCTATGCATGTGGAGCCCTGGAGGCCTAGTAGGCATCACTTACTTGTGTTTACTTTGGCAGGTGGTTGATTGCCTTTGTGAGTGACAAGGACTCATATGTGTGGACTGGATATATCTATGTCATCCTCTTATTTGTTACGAGTCTCCTCCAGTCTCTCTGCCTTCAGTCTTACTTTCAAATGTGTTTTGTCCTGGGAATGAGTGTCCGGACAACCATCATGGCTTCTGTGTATAAGAAGGTAAGCAGATTATGTCCAGTATCACCAAAGAAAATCCCTTTAGTAAACATTAGCAGTTATTCTAAGTTAGAGAAAAAATTATGAGTGATCCCAATACTTATTTTGATTAGCCACACAATGTTTCTTTAGAAATCAAAATATGAAAAGCATGTTCGTAGACACAAGGCGTGTGCATGTGAGGAGGGAATGATGCCCCTTAAGAAGAAGGTGGCAAGCTGCTCAGGATCTTCCTTTCCATCTTGAGGGCTTAAAACACCTGTTCCTCTCTTCCTGTCTCTCTCTCTCTCTTTTTTTTTTTGGTACTGGGGATAGAACTCTGGTCCTTGCACTTTTGAGGCAGGCAGTAGAACCACTGGGCTAAATCCCCAACCCTCTCCTGTCTCTCTTGACAAGGTGAAAATGTGGTGGGAAAGTATGTAAAGTCATAAAAGAAGATAACCAAAGTTCAAATCTTGAACGCATCCACATTTAATCCAAATACTTGATGAAATCTCATTCAGAGATTTTGTGTCTCAATTTCAAATTATGTTTTTCTAGTGAGACTAGAATACTCTCCAGGCCAGGGCTTCATCTCCCTAGTCTAAATTTTGCCTAACAACCTAAAAAAAAAAATTTAGTAACTACCAAATCTTCTACCTCTTTTTTAAGAAAATACATTTTCTGTTTACTGAATTGTACAAACCTGGGATGCTTCTGGAAGACTTTCCATTTCCTGAATATGATTTTACTTATCTTCCCTCCAATTTTTATTTATTTATTGTGTGTATATGTTGCTGGAGATTGAACCTAGGGTTACGCTTCAACCGAGTTACATCCCAAGCCCTGTTTTATTTAGAGACAAGCTCTCACTAAGTTGCCCCAGTTGCCATGAACTTGTAATCCTCCTGAGCTACTCAGCTTCCCGAGTAGCTGGGAATTCTAGCATGCACCTAACTAATATATTGTTCTCAAGGTTTAACTTCTTCAGGGCAAATGTATTTTCCTTAAGTCCTGTATATCAGGGTGAAGTCTAACTTAATCTCTTAAATGATGAAAATACAGGTGTTAGGATCAGTGACTCCAAGCTCAAGGGAGAAAGTCACACATGAGAAGACAGAACTTTTTACGTCAGAACACCAGTTGCCATCTCTGACTCTTCTCCTAACTAGAAGGTTCCATTTTAGTGACTTCTCCTTTATCTTCTTCTTATTTGTTTTCCTCTTTTGAAACACAAGATATCCTCTTCTTCCCTGAGTAGATGATGACTCATTGAAAGATGCATACGAGTAATGCAGTGTCTTTAGATCAGAAGTCTAGTCTCACATTGAAATTAATTTCGCAATCTATTCTTTTTAGAGATATTAAATCTCTTCTGGTTTGCAAGTTATACAGTTGATCACCAGACTGTCTCAATGCTATTAACGTGCACTTTAAAATTGTGATCATTCATTCCCACTACTATGATTCTTGATATATTCTAGATTTTGCAGTTCTTATGATCAATAAAGAGATTTGTAAAATATAGCACATGCTACCCTCATTTAAATAAATATTGCTGTAAAAAAGAGTTCAAAAATTACTAATTTCATATATTTAGTAATACTTTGCTATTTATTAAATACTTTTCATATCCATTATCAATTCATAGCACTGTGAAGTATTTTCTTATTGTATAGAGAAAAATAAGGCTTATATAATTTCAATGCTTTTAATCATATGGCCAAGACTTGCCCCTGGGCAAGGGCTGTTGGAACTAAGTCAATGACTTTTCTACATTATTGAGAAAAGAAATGTATAATGGGAACTTGAAGGGTAATTGGATATTGTTTTTATTTTTATTCTGCTTTCCATACAGAAAGGGAGGCACAGCATTGGGCTGATTCCTTTAGAATCTTGGTGGCTTAACATCTTAAATTTTTCTCTTTCACTGTATAATAAAGAATCCTAGTACACTCCTAAGAAGGTACTGGTGGATAAAGATGACATAGAGCTTTTAGGAGGAAAATTAAGGTGGATATCTATGGACATTCAGCTCATGCACTGTCTTTGTAGAAATTAGAAGCATCCTTCTTATCTTCTTCGAAGATGCAGGCCACACCAGAGGGTGTCTTGGTGAGCAGAGTGTAAGCTAGTTTCAGTGTTCTGGTGCATTTATTCAAAGAGTTGTTCTCAGTAACAGATCTGTGAGTATTAGCCTTCTGATGTCTAATGAATGCAGGAAGCCCATAATGCAAGATTCAGGCCTTTAGATATTGCCAGAAATTTTCTGATAATAGTTTTGCACTTTATTTCAGATGTAGAAACTTGGCAGATTTCCTCTTCATTCTAAAATCTCTGTCCTTGGGAATGTTTGCAACCTCGATATAATTATATGGTTGCAAATGACAATGCCACATCAAAACTCTCAAGGCCAGAATGTAGACATGTGATTTCCTCTTTTCCTTCCTCTTTTTCTTTCATTCTTCAGTTTTCAAAAAAATTTCCTGCTTCAACAGAGAAATGGGCAGAAGTAGCCCTTATCCTCACAGAATTTACATCGGGTATAGAAAAATGAAATAATTATAGTTTGTTGCAGTGATGGTAATTTAAAAGGTAAGCACAGAGTGTTACTAGTACACAGGAGAGGTATCTACTGTATCACAAACTTGGGAGTCACAGTGGTCCTCTTAGGAGGTGTATCTGTGTTGACACCAAGGATTAGTAGGAATTTTCTGAGCAAAGAAGGGTATGGATGGGTGGGACTGGAAAAAGGTGGCAATAGGAGAAAAGGGTAGTTAAGAATGAGAGAATCCTATTTGTAGGATTTGAAGGCAAGAAATCAGTCTCTCGGAGAAGTTATGTTGCTATGGAGTCTATCCTTCCACTGTTTTCCATTTCCTCAGTTTTCCCTTCTGTTCACCAGTATGTTTGGTCCTGTCCATGGATCCCAATCCAAATCTCTATTTCTAGGCACTGACCTTGTCCAACGCAAACAGGAAGGAGTACACCATTGGAGAAACAGTGAACCTGATGTCTGTGGATGCCCAGAAGCTCATGGATGTGTCCAGCTACATTCACTTGCTGTGGTCAAGTGTCCTACAGATTGCCTTATCCATCTTATTCCTGTGGCAAGAGTTGGGGCCTTCAGTCTTAGCAGGTGTAGGGGTGATGGTTCTCTTAGTTCCAATTAATGGAATACTGGTCCACAAGAATAGAAATATTCAGGTAAAGAAAAACAATCATCCTGGGGAGGTTTGACTTCTTTAATGTCTAAATTCTTAATACTTACTGTATTCTAATATTGGCAAAATGGTATGAAAAAACTTTCATTTCTGTATTCTAATTTTTAGGAGTTTGGACAAGGCAAGCTGGTTAAGACTTTCCTCATTCCAAAAGGCTTTCTTTGTCTTTTTTTTTATCTTTTGACCACTCATAGGACTTATATACTCTCTCTCTCTTTTTTTTTTTTTTTTTTTTTTTTGTTGGTGGT